ATGAAAAGGGTTAGACTCCCCAGCCCGGTAAGAATAGTGCTACATAGCGTGAGGTTTTAAGTAACATAAGAAAATATTGCAATGTATCCTGCTTTTTTCCTTGATTTTTTCTTAATCAGGAATTGGATGTAAAGTCAGCATAGGAAAAATATAAATCCCAGTATTTGGATGATAAAACACCAGTTCATTGGTGCTAGATCATTTCATAGCCTTCCTATAAGTGGTGGTCCTTGCTGTCACTATGCAGTCCACATTTTTATTATTTTTCTTTATGGTTGTAGTACAGATATTTCTCTTTTCCCCCCAAGGTTTTGAGATGTTAGTATGTTGAGGTTAGTTTTAATGCCCAAACCAAAATTATCTGTAAAGAATATTTGTTTTGAAGAGCAGCCCACCCAAGAAAACATTTGTAAATGCCCATATGGGAGGTTATCTTGGATTTCTCACACTATTTTCTCTAGCAGTTCCCAGATTGCTGGCCAGTTAACTAGAGATTATGTGAATTTTTACTTGTCTGACATATAAACCATGAACTAAGCTCCTTTTTCTTAGCAGATCCTTGTAAAATGCCAAACATTTCCTTCCTTCCTTCCTTCCTTCCTTCCTTCCTTCCTTCCTTCTCTCTTTTTATTTTAAATGGAGTTATTCTTAACTTCCATCTGCCCCTGTTGCCATCCTGAGAGATCATTGTCTTTATTTTGTCCAAATCTTGCTTCTTTGGAAAATGATTTTTCAGGTTTCTGTTGGTATCTGAGATATGAGGTGATTCAGCGTGTGAGCAGGAAGCAGGGGGAAGTGTGAGATGCTCTCCTGTAAAATTTTATCTTTAACAAAAATTAAAGAGGGTGTAGAAAATATAGCCCTGGAATTGAAAGCACTTTTACAATTGAGGCTTGAACAATAGTTTACAATATGTAAAAGTTTATCTTTAACAAAAATTAAAGAGAGTGTAGAAAATGTAGCCCTGGAATTGAAAGCAGTTTTACAATTGAGGCTTGAACAATAGTTTACTATAGTCATTGCAAAACAGTTAACTAGCTCTCATGCCAAGCAAGGTCACTGTACCATAATAATCCTGACAGTTGAATGTATTTATGCTGCAAAGTGTAA